TTTAAATGAGGCTCTAGACAATAGAAAACTAAGGAAATCACAATCACCCACAATCCCCAGACACACAACATTCGAGTAGTGTGATTTATACCTAACAAACACACTCCACATTACACATTCATTTCCAGGAGTAAAGAAGCAGCGCCTCGTGTGGTTCGATGATGAACTCTGGCTTCGATGCTCTCTAAATAACAAACACTCTCCGATTGTTGACAGGCTTTGTTTTTGAGCCTGCCAGCAATCTGAAATCAAGGTTTGTATTAATGCTGTAAACTCACGCAAGCTCTACATGAATAATTTACAACAGGCCAGAAAGTGAGTAATGACTTTAATCTGTGCATTATTACTCTTTGTCCTTTTAACTCCTCATTCTCTCCACAGATGAAAGGGCTCAGGCCTCTGGCTTGTTTGCCTGTTCCATTATCTGCAGCCTCTAATGTCAGTGGTACATTTCAGCAAGCCAAATAAAGATAAACACAAAGCCAGGGTCCCAGAGGTGGCTGCGACTGTTCAGCATCATCCCTGTCAGACGTAGGGTGTCTATCTAATCAGCCATCTGATGAGGCCGTCTCTGGGGAGCTCAGTGACCGGGGTCAGGTCGGAGCCTCAAATACAGCCCAAAATGACTTACATCTACAATACACATTATTCAATTTATACACACTAAATCTCTCATTCAGTCATGCCAAAAACACAATCCAGAATAGGTTTAATTGTTTATCAAATCTAATCTAAATTGTAATCTTTATACAACACATTTTAGCCGATGACAACCTCTGCTACAACTACTAATTTCTTGACATCTGTACAATGTTCAACTAAATTTGATGACACACAAAATACTTCCAGGCAATATGATGATTTAGTTTTCACAAGCATACAAACTGTGAACAATCATTATTATCGTTTGCAGACCTGAACACACCCTGCTGTTTTTAAAACACTTTTTATCTCTTTGAAGGCCCAAATAAATGTAATACCTATTGTTTCCTCCCCTCGCCTCTTTTAGGAAAATCAGTGTACTTTAAAGGATGTAATGGCACATGAATGCATGTATACTTATTTATAATCTTTAACTGTGTCTATGTTATATGCCTATATCCTAAATTCTCCCACACCACTCCACTCCTCCGCTCCCTTCACTGGCTTCCGGTAACTGCTAGAATCCACTTCAAGACACTGGTACTTGCTTACCATGCTGCGAATGGATCTGGCCCTTCGTACATCCAGGACATGGTTAAACCGTACACCCCAGCGCGTGCACTACGCTCTGCATCAGCCAAACGACTCGTTGCGCCCTCGCTGCGAGGGGGACCCAAGTTCCCATCGGCGAAAACACGTGGGTTTGCTGTCCTGGCTCCAAGATGGTGGAATGAGCTCCCCATTGACATCAGGACGGCAGATAGCTTGCACATCTTCCGGCGCAAACTGAAAACTCATCTCTTTCGACTCCACTTCGAGCGTTAGAACTATTAACGAAGCACTTTTATACTAATAAAGGACTGGCTTACCTAAAGCCAGTTGAGTAGCACTTGAAATGTTTGGCTCTATGAAACCTGATGTACTTATATGATTCTGTTTTCTTCAAGGTTGTGTCTTCCTGGTCGAATGTACTTATTGTAAGTCGCTTTGGATAAAAGCGTCAGCTAAATGCAATGCAATGTAATATGCATAAGTTGCACATGTGCAGCTTTTCACCGATCTGCTGGGTGCCCCTAAAAACTCATTTAGATACTTAAAAAGACCTGGGGTGATGCTGGCTGTTTACATATGGCTCTACTAATGTATTTTATCCACAGTCTATTTACCAAGCCCTGATACAATGTCCCGGCCTGCTGTGGTTCTAAAGAAGGAAACAAAAAGGCACTGCTTTCTTAGCAACAGGAACATTAGGGTACTGTTTATGATCTCTTGTCTTTGAGCTGTTCAAGTCGCAGGGATGTATCTTTTGAATGTCATGCATCAGACAGCACTGCAAGGAACATCTTTGGTTGTAAGATTCAGAGCCTAAAGCACACTTCCTTTCTTACAGCTCACACAGTACAAATCTCTCAGAAGCACGGGTGTCTGAGTGATCTGTCAATCTATTTTGTCATCCACACTCAGGGTTCTCGCTTGCAAAAGTCCCTGAGGGGAGCTGAATCTCAGCCCACCACTTTCTTTCTCTCATCCTGCAGCCATAGCGTCACCAAAGCCAGGGAGGAAGTGTCACATCGAGCCGCTGTGCCTCAGAGGAGGGTTCATAGGGATGGGGGGGGGGGCACTATTTACACAAACAAACTGACACACACACACACACACATACACACCATGCCCTTGCAGCTCCCCATAAATATCCTACAAGATGCCACTTTCCCCCACGAGCCCCAACAGTCCCCGTCCAGTCCTCCTGTCAGACAGGTGCCCACGCAGCTGCCCGTCAGCATCCCTCAGCGCAGCCGCCTGTCTGTCCAATCACAATGCTCCGTCCTCAGTGCTCAGTTTATACAGTCAGATAATGCAGGGAGCCAATTATAGACAGGGTGTCTACTGTAACACATTATTTTAATATGAAGCTTTCATGCTTAAGCACTTCATGCTTAAGATTTTCATCTATCAGACATGTTATACTTTCTTAATGCCCCCTTTTTCTTTCTTTTTTATTACTTACTTGTCTTAAAAATGTATGATGTTAGACTGTATATTATAGCGTGTGCGTATGCTTGCATGGATTATTCTTGATGGTGGATAACAGCTGATTTTTTTTAGGCATATGCATCACACAATTACAACCACATCTGCAGTATCTCATGGCTGCAAGCACACATCTAGCAGACCACAGAGGAAAGTATGTGTGTGGCTAAAGGGGGTACGGTGTCTGTATATAAGACGAAGAAACATTTAAATGTTTGCAATCAGCCAGCTGGCCTGTATAGATAGCCTTCACATCCTGCTGCACTGCTGTGTCAAAGCCTAAATGCGCAGAGGATGTGCTCCCGTAAATATTTTGATTCAGCTCCATCATGTAGTGTACACAAACACACACACACACACACACACACACACACACACACACACACACACACACACACACACAATAACATCATGCTTGGGCTTGCAACTTACATTGACTATCTGATTCAAAACTCTGAAATGTATTTTTAGACTGAGAAGCAAGAATACAAGCTGGAGGCAAAAGGGGATTTGAGGATGAAATAAATAAATAACATTCCCTTTTTTTTTTTTAAATCAAGCAGTTATTCAGGTCTCTGGTGAGCCTCTCCAGCTTGCTTACACAAGCAAAAGCTTTCAGGGCATCTGCAGCTGCATTCATGTTGTACAGGTACGCTGCAGGCTCTTCACAGCTGCCTCTGGCAAAGTATCTCTGACTCCAGGTGCACCTTCCCCTCGGCACTTCTTCAACACCACCCTCACTGTGTCGGAGCCAGCGACACAAACAAGGGTCTTGGCTGATAATCATCCTCAGACATAGAGCAATCTGCAACACTTTACACATTTTTAGAGGCCATAAGTAGATCTTTACACCATCATGCCAACATGCCTCACCTATGCCTCCAATACTGATATCCTAGCACTTCTTAAAAGCTGCCAGACAACCTCCCACTCAAACATTTTCCACATATATCACCTATTAAAAAAACAGCTTTATGTTTTCTCTGTCAGCAGGTTAAAAGAGACCTACAGCCCTTTATTCAACACTACCATCTTCATTCTTTCAAATAGGATCAAAGACTAACTGGGATAATTCCTCCGAGCTCCAGGCTTTATCTCCTGAACAGCGCTGAGTGACAAGAAGAAGCTGTATTTTATCCCGTGCTCCGTCACTGTTTTCCCCCATCTAGCATTGTACTGCTTGATTGTACTCTCATGAGTCACCGAACCGCACCTGCGCCCATGTGTTAAGTACTGACAAATAAAAGCCCAGCGTCCATTTACACAACAAAGAGATGTAACCCGCGAGGCAACCATTCTTTGGCTCCCTGCGCCTGACAAGACCGCAAATATATCACTTACTTAAGAGGAAGGCAGCTCACGTTCCTGCTGCTGTCAGAGGCTGCTTCTCTCCCTCACGCTCTGACAAACTTCTTTTCAAATACAAATCCAGAAACAAAACACATGCCAGCCTTTTATGTTGCATGGCCTGTTCCATATTTGATTTCAGAGTAACAGGCAAATCCAGTCTCAGACTGCCTCACCAAAAAAGAAAGAAAAGAAAAGATAACCCTTTCATTGTTTAAGGAAAGAAAGGGGGGGATTTGCTTCGTATTGGAAAAGGAAAAAATATTGTCTTGTACCAGTTGTAGGAATTTAAAGCAAGGCTTAATAAAACCTTTCCCAATCCGCCGGGGTTTTAACAATGAACATCTGACTTACTGATTTATGCATATTAATGAACGTCAACACCCCCTGTCTAAGTGAGAGCAAGCTGAGCTCCACACTTCTCTGCATCCTAATGGTTTCTGCTCCACCGGGATCATTACCAATAGAAATTTCAGATATTCTATGCTATTAATCTCTGTCTGTCCTCCTGTTCGGCTACGTAATGACTAATTAAACATCAAAAGAGCAGAGCTGGGGATCTGCTCTGACAGCCTCTCTCTCCCAGGAGAGGCTGTGAGGAGGCCAGACTGTGACAGGGCAGCACTGAAAATCAATCACCTCAAGGTGCACAAGTGTGAGGACGCACACACAAAATGTACTGAAGATGTTCCCTAGACATGTACACATTAAAACTAAACAACACCCATGTAAACAACAAACATGAAAAGTCAGAACTTAGATAAACAGGCACCACAACATGCTGAGTTAGGAAACAAATAAAAGATCCGACCTAAGAAGTGTGGCAGTGATGTCAAGAGCGCTCTTTGTGTGCAAGAGGGAGTTGAGTAGCATAGATGTGTGTGTGTGTGTGTGTGTGTGTGTGTGTGTGTGTGTGTGTCTGCTTAAGTAAGCTCACTGTGAAATCAATTTATATGAGAGGTAGATGATCTTCCACTCACAGATGAAGGCAGGCCAGGAGGGACCTTGCGAACCTTTTTTGTTTGTAGAGGATCTGTGGAGAGATGAAAGCAGGTCTAGTCATTCTCAGGCAAAATCAAAAGGCAAACATGAATGTGCTGTAAGCGAACTGTAGTGTACCAGACATCTACTTTGTGGCATTGTTCAGAATGGATTATTCGTGATTAAATCCTGATTTACACAGAAACATGAGTTAAAAAATTAACTTTAGATATAAAAAAACCAAGCGTTTTGGGGTGGGTTACTAACATATTTGGAGACAGGGCCCACAGTGTAGCTCCGTTTATGTCTTCAGGTTTAGATTGAGAAAAGCTTTCATGTGTGGGTCTAATGTGTCTGCTTGTTATCCTATGGTGATGGTTTTGTTACGGTTTAGTTGTATTTTCCCTTTTTACCCCACTTTTACAGATGTTTTTTCTTCTTATAGTTCAGCCCTCAATAAAGACATTGTTTTTTTTTTTTAAATCAATAAAGATTATCTGGTTGGTAACATATGAATGATAACAAACTATGTTACTGTATTTCTGTTGTCCTTGGTTATTTATATCTTCTAGGAACATACCTTCCATACTTTAGTTTTATATTTCAGGGCAACTGTCCCCCAAACATAACGTTTTTTATTTTTAAGCTGCATAAGCTGCATTTGGTCCCTGAACTAAACATGGAGAGGCAGCGTTCATTTATTATGCTCCATATACTGTATCTAGAACAAACTCCCAGAAAACTGCAGGTCCGCTAAAACTCGTACTACTTTTAAATCCAGGCTGAAGACTTTTCTTTTTGCCGCTGCCTTCTTTGGAATAAAAAAACTTTTTTAATATCGTACACTGCACTGTAAGTTATATTCTTCTATACCTGTCTTATTCTATTTGAGCTTGTCTTATTTGTATTTTTATGGCTTTGGATGACTGTTTTGAAATATATGTAAATGTCATTTTGTGTTTATGTTGCACTTCATCATGCTTTTAACGTTTTGTTAAAAAGCACATTGAATGCCCTAAATGGTGAATTGATTAAACTTGCCTTGCAAATAAACTATAACATTTCATTTTCAGGACATTTTATCTATTTTGTTCTCATTGCGATGGTACTGACCACTGATTGGAGGATCTTGCAGAGGACGTCTTCTAGGATTGGCTGCAGTGAAGGAGTAGAAAGGAGCAGAAGACTTCCTTGACGGAGTCACCGGACTCGGACTCGCCATCCCGACGTCCGACCTTACAGAGGAAGACTGGAAGAGAAAACAAACAAAAACAAATGCTTAAAATAAAGGAAAGGCTTATCGAGGTGAGCTTGTTTCCTTCAGCAGTTTGAAGTTATTATGTGATCTGTTTGTTCTGTGCCACAGGACACATCAGCACATCATCCTATCGCCAATATCTATTTAACCTCTGCAAACCCAACAAACTGGGCTAAGAGGCCAATTAAGAGCTTGGTCTAATTAGAGTAATCGGCTGCAGACCAGTAGAGCCGGGATCATTTGAGCGATTTGCAGCAGCTCGGCTTTTAAACTCCCCTTTCGCGCCCCCTTGGAAACAGCAGGCTGAGGATTGACACCATTACCAAGGAGATGTTTGCAACAGCTCTGATTTTTGATTGACAAATACCTATAACAACATTTATTTTAGTTTAGTTGAAATTAGCATATATGAAATAAATAATTTCTGTGATCTACAATGTAGGTCATGAAAAACTGCCAGAAGCAACGTGATACACATGTAATAAAAAAAATAATCAGGTCAGGTTCTGTAAAATGACAACATATCACAACAGAGCCATTTCTGCTGTTGCCTTTGTTCAATGATATTAAATCCCAGCAGCTACACTGGCCTCTTTCACACTATTGTAGCGATCAAATGTAGATGTTTGTGAATTTCTGTGAACACCTCTGAATTAGTTTGCAAGAAGGAGAGAATTAGACTCTTGCATCTTTCATACTTTTCCATCTGTTATAGCAGTTTTCCTTGAGATTTAAAAAAGTTCAGATGGAGACTTTTTGACACAACGAGTCAGAACTATATAAAGCAATATGTGGGTAACCACTGTATGTAGAGAGCTCCAAACATGGCTACTGCCAGGTCCCTTGTCTTGTTGAATTATTTGGCTTAAGCAGTTGACTAAACACACACTCAAATGTTACAAATAAAGCAGTGTACAAATCAATATGTATATCGAGCAATCGTGAGAATAAACTGTAAAATTTAGTCCATTGGTTGTTTTTTTTTCCAATAATAAATATTTTTGCAGAATAAGAGAATAATCATTCATCTCAGATCTCTGCAGCTGCAGATCTGAACAAAACTCCTTCTCAAAATATAAATAAATTAAATTGTATTCCCTCCCTTTGTCGCGAAAAAAATGAAAACGTCATCAATCATTTAAAAAGGCTCTTCTACTTGGCTTCAGTCAGCATCTTCAGTTACTGGATATATGGAAACCTAAAGGGCAGGGCATAGGTGTCAGGGTGTGATGTGAATCTCAAGGGCTCAAACTTTGAAGTGACATTTGATTTTTTTGCATGTTACCGTTTGGAAAGGGTAAGATCTTGAAGTTATTTCTAAAAATGAACCCAAAGCAAATGGAAGTAGCAGTTTTGTTTAAAAGTGATGGACCCCCAGCCTTGATAAAAGCTCGACTGCTCGGTTTGTGGTTGTTATAAAGAGGGGAGCTACTCAGGAACAGAGGGATTAGCAATAATCCAGCCTAAGTTAAATAAAGGCATGGATCCCCTGTTTGAAACCGGTGGAAGAGATGCAGGGTCTTATATTAGTATTACTTAAAAGGAATCAAAACTCAGGGGTACATTTATGTTTTTCCTGTTTATCTATCTGGATCAAACGGTTAACATACAGAGAGGGGTTCCGTTTACTGGTCGCTCTAAATATTTAATATAAAGGCTGTGTGATGCCTTTAACTGGGTGTGTTGAGCTTTACTGTTACTTTATGTTTTGACTGTTTAATACACTGTTGCTTGGATGATACTACCTATTTAACAATTTAGAACATGTTGCTTGATTTGTTTTTCAAGTGAAACTGTGTTATTGGTATTTGGGAATATAGAAGCTGATTTATGGTAACACAATTGCATATAGCTGTGCTTTGAACTCACCTGGCCGCCAGATGCTCCAGGATTCCTCCCATAGCCAGGAAACGGAGCCCGCTCTGATTTACCTGTGAAAATCAGACAATGGAGAGTCGTAACAGTCATTATCCTTTATGATATTTGAGCACACACCTGGACTCATATTAAATATTAAACAACATTAATGTGAACACTTTATTGACAATGATTTTAACTGTGACTAGAGTTTTTTTTACTACACTAATAAACACCATTGGTAAATCTAAGAGTTGTTTGTCCTTTCACTGAGGTAGAGTTGTTTTGTGTTTGTTTTCTTCCCCTATACGCAATGATATGACGCTGGCTGGAAGCAAAGAAAAGAAGAACTCGCATTAAAGAAATGTGACCTCCTAAGGTTTTTTAACAATTGACTTTGTTCTTGACTTAAAATCCAACGAACATACAGTACAAAGGTTGAAACTGAGGTTGTAGCTTAACAAAAGCTAAAAAAACTAAAGTGTAGTTCTAAAAAAAGTGTGTCACGTCATCAGTATGAAAGAAACTATCAAATAAATATAATACTGATAGTGATCATTTTCAGACAGTCTTTCTATCAGTGTCACATTAGGTGTGATCCCCCCAGAGGAAAAGCTCCCGAGCAGCCATCAGGGGGAAATAAAACTCATAGCACACAACACACATGAATCATACACATCACTATATCCGAACTCAGCAGTTTTACTCAGGTGAAAAACAAACAAACAAATGAGAGCTCCTGAGGGAGAATGATGAATAACTTTAGCGTTGTACATTATTTTTTGTCAGACTTCCAAATATTACAAGCAAAGATGCAAGCCTTAGAACTCAATTCTGTTTACTCTGGGGAAAAGGTAAATATATGTTTGTGAGTTCAAACTTGCATAGCCTGGATCTTTTGTTACACAATGACTGATCTGCACACTGCTTTTACAAGCGCAGGTGAACAGAGGCATGCACGTCTAAGAGAATTCACTTGTGCTTATCTGCGCAGTCCTGCAGGAGACAGTTGTTCTGCATCTGTGCAGACCGTCTCCAGAGGCGAGGGAAGGAAATCAGGAAGATGGTTAAACTGGCAAAGCTGCTTCTCTTCCAACAATAATGTGATACAGTTCTGAGCCATCGCTCTTGCATAAAGGAAATAGGATTAAGTTGTCAGTTACCACCAACGTGCACTGTCGTGGCAGCATGATCAAACATCTCCTTTGATGGAGAATTGTATATTCTTTATTTGCTGTGTAATATCTAAAGGTGGTTTAGTCCAGTGGTTCCCAACCTTTTTTCCCAAGAGCCCCCCCAAATGACTCCTGTTGGAAGTTGCACCCCCCCCCCCACACACACAAGGGGGGGAGGGGGGCGCAACAGCGGTAATTCAAGTTTAAAAGTCTCAAAAAAGATACAACTACTGTCACAAATTGGATGAATGTGAAGTATGGTGTTAAAGGAGGATGAAAGCGTAATTAAGGAGCACTATTGGAGAGACTTTGTTGGTTGTTGGACTCAGGATTAATTCATTTGGATTCCCGCTGTATGAAGGAATTAAAGGATGGCGCAAGTAGAAACAATTCACAAAGGGATTAAACTGTTTAAAACACATGCTCAAAGTAAGCCGGATTTTGCCGATGTGTTTATGTGGATTCAAAAGTCGTAAATAATCTACAAAATGGAGGAGACCGATCTGATTAGAGCAACTGTGATAAATAATCTGAAACCGGCATGGACAATGACTATGTTTTAAAAATGCGCTTATCCAGACAAGCCTGGTTTGGACACTTTACGGGCAGAAGAAACATTTCTATTAAAGAAAGAATTAAACATTTCTGTCTTTTTATGCCTTTAATACTAACTTGAATTTTTATTAAAATTAATTAATCAATTATTTTTTATATTTTATTGTAATGTAGAGAAGAGGCTTTTAGTGACAATCATGTATTGCCTTACAATTATATGTAAACATTTTTTTTTTTTAAAGGTCTAAATATGATATTTGGCCTCAAATCATCTGAGGCCTGGCGCCCCCCCTGCGATCTTTGGCGCCCCCCCCAAGGGGAACCACTGGTTTAGTCGAATTAATTTTCACTCCTAAAATGTCTTGTGAGGAAAAGGAGTTAAATATTCATTGGCAGCATGTGTTCTGTCACACACACTGTGTCCTGTGTGAATAATTAATGGTCACTGTTGTAGTTTCGGGGCCCACCGTGGCAGACAGATGTGTTTGTGAAAACAATGTCTCGGTCCACACAGAGAAGCAGCCACACAGCGACCCCGACAAAAAAAGGTCCAAGCAGCTCGATCAAACAGAACAGTGAAACCTAAAGTTAGAGTACACAGGGATACACAGTATAAACAAGGACTTACTGAGGAAAATACCATACATAAACATTTACTACATTTGTAAGCAATGATAATCTTGCTAATGCATTTACAGGGACCCATCCTAATAAGAAAAGGCTTGTATAAAATGAGCAAAATATGTGCCGCAGCCATCATATCTGCTTATTTTTTGATATACTTAAGGCTCTAACCAACGTATTACACAAACATACAGTATATATGAGAATTGACGATGCTATCGATTTTTCTCCGTACGGGAGTTATCAACAATGTATCAATTAAACGTTCTACTTTTATAAACACAGTGTTTAGTGTATCCGCACATCACTGTGCAAAAAGATGCAATGTCCAAGCTTTGTTTTGGTCTGGTACTTGCCCTTCCTTTCCATCTCCGACCCTGCATGGAGAATATCTCTGCAAGCACAAACAATAGACTTGAAACTTAAAAAAAAGATACATTTTTCCATAAAGTTATTACTCTGTCTCTTACTTTGGCAGGACAGTCTAAAGTTGCTTCTAGAGTGCACATTTTCAAAGCTACTATTGTCCATGCAGTGTATTTTAGAGGTATAGATCCAAATCCACTAAACAACTCAGTGGCTGTCTCTCAACGTGATAGAAGCCTTCAAGCTCTTTGGATCCCATCCTCAGGAATGGACAGGGTGTTCTTGGTCTAATTGATGCAGCAACTTCAAGTACATTGTCTCTCAAAGATAATTAGTATTTATTTTTGAAATATGTGTATGGTATGATAAAATACAGGTTTACTTGGTTTGTTTGTAGACTAAAAGAAAATTAAACAATAACCAAGTTCATGAGTGGTGAAAGATCCACGAAAAATACAATCACACGGCAACTTCTATCAAAAATACCATCATCCCCTGTCTCTAAAAGAACTGCTAAACAAACAAAGCAAGTTGAAGCTGGGTTGACAAGTCATGACACCCACTCTATTCGCTGTTTCTTTCCCCGCCTCAGATGACCTGAATCTGCCAGGAAGAAGAGAAGGACGGACCGGCCCCATGGCACAGGCAGTTGGTGTTCAACTTCAGTACCGTACAGTAAGCAGGTCATGAATGGAAACATATGTTAGTTTATTAAGACTGTCCTGCTGAAGATGACTTTATCTGATCATGAACATCATCTCTGCCCTCAGCAGTGCGACAGGAGAAAGTCTCTTCCAAGTTATTCTTCTCCTGCTGCAAAAAATCAGTATGTACTTTGTATGTACTGTACTAAAATGTACTTTTTTCCCTTCTTTGGTACATAAAACAGATATTAAAGAAACAAGCTGATAAATGTATTGCAACTGAAGCCCTTGTATCTTTATGACAGCTTAAATCCCAGTGTAACCTCTTCAACTTCATAATAAAGCAACAACCTGAGAATAACCCCTGCTTTTAAAAGATGCCTGCCGCTTGAAAACATAGCTGAATTGCTTTTGAAATGACGGGAGAATGAATATTTATGATGCTGAAGTAAAGTAGAACAAAGTGATAAATCAAGAGGAGCATATCGCTGGGTTGGCCGGTTCTAAAGCCAGCAGCCTAAATTAGCTGAATAAAATATACCCTTATCATGCAGTCTCCTGTCTGACGCACATGGACTGTAACTCATTGTGAGCTAAACAGGTCACTGTCAGAGTATTTCCAAATAAAAAACAAAAGCCAAATAAGTTGTTAAAACACAAAGTTCCCTCGTTGAAGTTTATAAATCAAAGAGTATCGCTGCCATGAGCGACAGAGAAACAACAAAAGCAGAAGTAATTTTATGAGTTAGTCTTTTTATAACGAAAGCTTTGTTTTCCCTCCTCTGAGCAGCCCGTTTGATCACAGCCTCAAAACAAGAGCAACACTATTATTGTTATCATTATTTTTTGAGTAGCCCCATTTGTTCTGAGCAGGGCTGCGTGGGACTAAGCGGGTGTTTTCTTTCTGTGAAACAGGCTAATGAGTCTAAAGTGCCATGATTGATAGGAAGCAAAAGTCATTATCTGCCTTAAAACAGCAACGCATGCAAAAGATACAAAATGCAAATAAGCAACATGACTAAAGTGGCTTAATTACTGCACCATCAGTGATATCAACGTAAGTATGCAGACGGCCATCGCACAGTATATCCCCAATGCAATGAAAAATCTATCTAATGAGGTAATAAATTCACATTCAAATATTCTGTGAAGCTACTGATTAGCATACCACTCAGAGTGAAGATGTAACTATGATTAGGACACATTTCACTGCAGGAGAATCTGTATTAAACAGGGTGTGCCCTGGCAGACACATTATATTAAACACGCATTTTCCACAGGGACAAAACTAAACGTCCATCATTCAGTCAATAGCTGACCAGAAAAACAATGTGCCGATTACATCAAACAATCAAATATGTGCATGGGTGTTAAACTAAATCACAAAATACCATGTACATTACAAGATGAAAAGGCACAATAAAAACTCGGAGTTGATACATTTAAACTTGTATTAGCATTAAAGCTTTGTTTCTTCTTAGATTTCAGTTTCTCTCACAGTAACTGGACCATTTGCACAGGGATCGATAAGCTGTGAACGACTACCAGGAAGTCAATCCACAGATCTTTATAGGCTTTCAAAATAAATATAACAGTGAACCCTAATGACATTCACATTGTGCCTGAGGTTACTATAATCCCAATGTAAGGATCTCTGCAGCAGGATGTGGTTTATAAAGCGTGTGTATCTGACACATTATTTTCACAGCC